ATAGCTATATTAGGCCTAAATTAAATATTTACGTGCTAAAATATAAAAAAAATTGGGGAGGGTAATCACATGTCTACAGTACTTAGAGCCGGACTTGTGACCTTCCTTGAGAGAGATGAGCTTACTTTTCCACAATCCTTGTTTTGAGTGTTACAATCTAAAGTAAGATTTGCTTATGGAGAGTAGAGGAGAAAGAGTTTGGGTTCCACAATGACCTACGTAGTAGAGCGAGCTTCGTTGATGAGTTAAGTCAACTCTTGATGCTCTTGTGTTGCACTAGAACGATGGTTCTAAAAAGGTTGTGTATTGTTGATAATGTATTTGTGTTGAAGGTAATTGTTAGTCCCAAATGATGCTTGATGAAGTCACCTTAGGACAACTGAAATTTTCCTTTTTTTTTTCTTGTAGAGGTAGGAATTACTTTGTTTGCTTGAGGACAAGCAAAAGCTTAAGTTTGGGGGAGTTGATAAATATGGATTTTAGCCTATCTTATGCTATATTTTGCTTAGATTTTGGATTAAAAAATGTGTAAAAGTATTCCCAAAAACTGACTTAATGTGATTGCCTGCAGGGTTTGTTCAAAATGAGGCAAAGAAGCCATCATCAACTCATGAAGGAGTTAAACTTGCACAAGTCCAAAGCTGGGATTGGAGCGCTGACCGCGATGAAAATAGTGGCCGCCTAAGGTCCACCATTGAGGCGGCCACAAATACGCGGCCCGCGAATATGAGATTTAGAGAAGTTATTTTGAGTATAAGTTCTACCCGTGATCGCGATGAAGAAGCGTGGCCACGGTGGTATTTTCGCTGAGAGTGGTGATTGAAGTTCAGAGACCCTGCAAGTCAAGCTTAAAAGAAGAACGCGGTCCGCATCCAAATTATGCGGCCGTTGTTCAAGCTAACGCGGAGGCGGTGGCTTTTACGCTGTCCGCGAGACCAAGTCAAAACCAAGCCCAGAATTGAAGAAACACGGACCGTGCTTGTTATTGCGCGGCCGCGAGAGCTCAAGCACGGACGCGGTGGGATGACGCCTCCACAAAACTTCTGCAGGGGCATTTTTGTCCATAAATTTCAGTCTAGTATAAATAGATTTTTTTCAGATTTTTGGGTTAAGTTTTGTTTAGGAGAGCATGTGAACGACTGGTTTTTACCTTTTGAGTAATTTTAAAGTAGAGTAACCTTCAAATTTTAGATTTTCATCTTGTAGTTAAATCTTATGGCTTATATTTCATCTTTATTTTTGATTTATGCTGTTATTATGAGTAGTTAAACCTATAGCTAGGGTTGTGACCAAACCCTAGTGTGGGTATTAATGAGTCTTGAATTTTAGGGCTTAATTATTTATGGGTTAGTGATATTTAGCCTGATTCATGCTTTAATTGTAGAATTGGTGGTTGCAAACACTGATTCGTGCCTTTATGATTTAGACTCTTCTTAAGAAAGAGGGACTAATCTCGGAAAATGAGGCTAACAAGGAATTAAGGTGCATTCAAGAGATTGATAGCCCCAATTAAAGGGTTAAACTTAGAGATAGTAATACCCTACTTGAGCCAATATCATTTGTTATGCATGAACACCCATTTGGACTTGAGAAAGACAAAAGTCACTCAAACAACTGAGAGGTATAGAGTGAGCACTTATGTGTGATGGTTATATCACGACCCCAATCATAACAAGTTTGTCCTGAATTCTCAATACCCGTTAGATACCCACCTAGGTGAAAGTCACTACCTTAGTCCCTTTTAATCCTTGAAAACAACCAACAAAAATATTGTACGTAGCTTTAACTATTGCATGCTATAGAAGTAGAATTAGAAGTAGATAACAAAACCAATTATTTGTGGAAGTGCAATTAAGGGTAAAACCCGCATCTTTACTCGGATATAAACCTAACTCCAAACTAATTAACTCCCTGTGGATTCGATCCCGACCTTTATTGGGTAAAACTGCATCGACCATCCTTGCTACTCTATAGTAGTGCAGGTTTGGAACCGATCAAGTACGGCCTCCACAAACGAACTCGGCCAAAGCAAATTGCATCATAGTCGACGCGATAGCTTGGTGAAATAACGGCACTGGAGCCTTCTTCTTGGAAATGCGCCGACCTAGCACCAAAAGGAGGTCGCATCAACGGGCAATGGTAAACTACAGAAGCCAACTCCTTAGGTACTAAAGGATGAGCAGTAAAAATAACACTTACTAGATGGGACATTAGTTCTGAAACGCTTGTGGAAAGTCGTCCAATCACGAATCCCCACCATGTGAGGAAACACGCGAGCCACTCAATCTTTAATGTCGAAGACAGGAGAGGGTGCATGCCTTTCAGCTGAAAAACAAACCACAAGTGAGCTAAAAACGAAAGGACAACAGGAGGGTACACTTCTGCCTTCTTCTCTCTCATATATTTATATATATATATATATATATATATATATATATATATATATATATATATATATATATATATATAACGTC